TTAGATAATTAGTTTAGTTATTAGTAATAATTTACTGTTTTGTAATTTGAATTAATATTTACGTATTGAGTAACATTTGAGTTGATGCAGTTAACTATATTTGTTTATTTTATAGAATTTCCTTCTGCAATTTATATTTACATCAGTTGAATGTATTTGATATGTAAGTTGCTTTCTTATATTTTATTATTTATATGCTGAAATAGTGATAATTTTTGCAAAAATTATCAGGTGGGGAGTGTGGAAAAATCCCCCAAATGATTTATGTATCGCAGTTAGAGGGCGCTTCGCTTCTGAAAAGGAATGTTAGTTTTTAGTTTGCAACGTAGTTAGTTAGGAGTGAACCTTCGATGCAATCCAAGTTGCTTTGTAAATAAAATGATTATTTTTGTAGATTGTTGAAGTATTTCACTTCATTTAGAATTAGAACCACCTTTCGCAATACTCTATTCAGAAATTTCAGTATTTAAACATAGTTCAACTTCTTCTGCTCTCCCAACGCATTGATCTTTTTGGAGCTTAAGACTTCTATCACCAATGTTAATCACTGTTATATAAGTTTTCGCCATTTTTAATTTCTAATAAACAGCCTGATACCTTCGGAAGGATTTTTCTATCACAATTAATCCATTATCCTACAGAATCTGTTTGAGAACTGACAAGACTGATCGTATTTTTCTCTAATTCATTTTGCCTCAATAGCTTTAAGGCAGACTCGATTTACTTTTTCATCAATTTGGTAGGTTACTAAATAGTTCATCTTCTCTATACCCCGAAGTGAAATCTTGTTTCCTATTCTGACACATAAGCGATGTGGAGGGAGATTCAAGCCATGTCCGTCCGATGATTAGATCAACTGGCTGTGCATTATCAGGTACAAGGTATATATTTATGCCTTGGCCTTTTACATTATCAACTTCAATATCGGCTTTAATTCATTCCTATAGAAGGTCACTGCAGGCACCCTTTGATTTCCAAAACCATACAATTCATTCATTAGCAGGTTCGGGTTTCACTTTAAGTTTCTGAGCAACTGAAGTCCTTAAGAGACGACAAAAACTCCCCGTATCAATTAAAGCCTGTACTTCTTCAGAATTATTCAGTTTTGCTGTCTTCAAATATGAATTGCTCTCTCTATATTTCTCCAACTGCTTAACAGAATAATTTTTATCATTTGAATGTTCATTTCAGGTTTAGTAAACACAATTTTTAGCTTTATGACCTTTTATTACATTTCGGCATGTTACTACTGGGTTTGGGCAGCGGACAGTCCTTGAGATGTGTCCAAAATTATTATTACAGCTGAAGCATTTTGGTTCACCTTTTTCATTATGGTGATACCGTACAGTTTTTTCTTTTCGTTGATTGTAGCAACTGGACCATCTTTAAAGGAGTTTCGTTTATCGTAAGACCCTTTTTTACGCGGTTGTTTATTGTTGAAAGTTGACTTCAAGGTATCATAATCATCTAGTTTTTCAACTAAATCAATTGGTGAAATCAACTTAGACCAGATGTCAATAAAATGAACTTTTACTTCTGGAGACACTTTACGTTTTATCTGATCCGCTACAATAAGGTCGCTAAGTTTCTCAAAAGTATCTACTTTATATCCGCTTATCCATTCATTAAAAAATTTTCTTAACTCATACGCAAAATTCTTCCATGTGTTTCCTACACTCGTATTGTGCGTAAAAAATTTTTCGCAAAAATTTTCAAGTGTCATCTTGTACCGTTTTAATAAGATCCTTTTAACTTCTTTATAATCGTTTGCAATCTCATCGGTTTCTCAGGCGATTAAATTAATATCATACGGCAATAAGCCAAACAAATGAGTAACCCATGTATTTTCTGGTATTTCAACTTGTTTAGCCAAACGTTCAAACATGACTAAATATAAACTGATATCATTCTCGTCAGGTTTAAATTTTTGCATCAAACGATGAAGCTCTAACTTTGGATTCATGTGCGTACCACTAGCATTTTCATTGGTGGCAGAATTTGTAGATTTACATTCTGCTTCAATACGTAGTTTTTGCAGTTCAAATTCCATTTCGTACTTTCGTTTTCTTTCCTCATATGCTTCTTTTCGCCTATGTTCTTCAATTTCTTCTTTTCGCTTACGTTCTTCAATGTCTTCTTTTTCTTTTCTTTGATTTATTATAATGTTCAACCATTCTTTGGCGCATTCTTCATCGTACTCTTTGCTAGCCAAAATTATCTTTTTCAAATCGCTCATTTTTATGACTCTCATTTACATCTTCTCCCAATTCTTCAGCTAATATTCTTAAATCGCATTTCTTTGCCTTACCGAAAATAGACATTTTCGTACTCATTAAATAAAATTATATATATATATAATGCTATATTATTAACTTTCAGTTAGGCAACTTAGAACACATTATTGGTATTTATAAGTTGTCTGACGTTCTAAATATATTTCAAAATTTAAAGAAATGAAAAAAAAATAAACTCTCTTTCCAAAATGATAAAAAAATAACAAAATTAAAGTCTATAATAAATATATTACAGCAATCAATGCACATACCTTGAAATTCAAATTCGTTTCAATTTATTTACGTATAGCAAATTCTTGTAGCTTTAGGCTTAGGTTTCAGAATAATCTCGTTTCTGATTTATGTTAACTTCCTTTTGTTGTTAAATTAATCACTCGTAAAATGGTTGTAAAAGACAAACATTTATTTAAAGATAAATCTTAATAACCTACACGTAACGTATTCGTAAACGTACATAACATAACAAACGTACTTACTGCATCGTACCATTAAACATTTCAAGCGTTCATAATCTCAATGTATATTTTTAAAATTATAAAATAGAACGACATCCAGAAATTAGCTGTTGCCATTTTCTCAATAGATATTTTGTCTAATAACAATTAAATAATTTGCAATCGTACTTACAAATTGCGCTGACGTAAATCGCCAAAAATTCGTGCAACCGTCTACCAAAGTAGCACCCTTAATTTATTGATAAGTGTCCATGCTATAGGTTTGTAAAGTCGAAATAATCCAATAAAAATAGAATCGTCAGCATCAAATGCTTTATTTCTATCGCGAAACCCTCGAGTTTCACGCAAACCTTAAGAAATTAAAATATCCGTCATTTACACTTCCAAAAACTATCCTTGACCTCTGCCGTCTTCAGTTTAGCTCTAAAACGACTGTCAGAAAGTGAAACGTCAGCTACTCAGCTAACGAACAAATTTCCGACGCGTTGTATTTATCCAATGTATTGTATGTCTCTAATGTAACCATGAATCCTTCCAGAATTGTATAACTGTAATTATCCCAAATCGAAATATATAATATCCGTACAATGCACCAATGTAAAGTATGTACATTATGTATTATGGGTACTGAGCATATTTCCGCATAGCGCTTCTGCTTTACGCACACCTTACTATGTCTCATATGTTTCTTCTGTGTGCAATATTTGCATTTATGTGCTCTACGTGTTTCCATATGTTTCTATGTGTCATGTTTATGTATTCTCGTGCGTGTTTTTATGTCTTTATGTTACGTAATTGCGAGTGTGTTTTATGCTTTTACGTTTATTTTGTAATATCTATGTGTTTCAGCTTATATGTGTGTTTAGTGTTTTAATGCTATCCTTTATATTCTTTTTAAGTTACATTGTGTTATTAACAACGTCCTATGTAAAATCTACTTGACTTCTAGCCCCTGTATGGCCATGTAAACTCCCGGTGCAGCCTCACGGGGCTCCAGCGAGTTGCTTCTTCGAGATAGTGGAGGACGTGGGACATATACCTGTTTACCTATGTTATACGCCAGGCGTCCCCGTCCTCCGTCACCTGTATAATGATCATAATCCTTCCAGAATTGTATAACAGTAATTATCTCAGATCGAAATGCATAATATCCATTCAATGCACCAATGCAGTGTATGCAACGAAACATATGTAAATCATGCAATAGACGCTTCTAAACAGACGCTTCTAAAGTATGTACAATATGTATTATGGGTATTCAGTAAATTTGCGCATAGCGCTTCTGTTTTACGCACACCTTACTATGTCTCATATGTTTCTTATGTGTGCAATATTTGTATTTATGTGCTCTATGTGTTTCCGTATGTATTCTATGTGTCATGATGTGTCATGTTATGTATTCTCGTGTGTTTTTTTTATGTCTTTATGTTATGTAATTATGAGTGTGTTTTTATGTTTATTTTTGTGTATCTATGTGTTTCAGCTTATATGTGTGTTTAAGTCTTTTAATGCTAGCCTTTATATTCTTTTTAAGTTACTTTGTTTTATAAACAAGGTCCTATGTAAAATCAACTTGACATCTAGTCCCTGTATGGCCATTCATGGGGCTCCAGCGAGTTGTTTCTTCGAGATAGTGCAGGACGTGGGACATATGCCTGTTTACCTATGTTATACACCAGGCGTCCCCATCCTCCGTCACCTGTATAATGATCGAGATGATGACACGAGACTCGCTCTTTGTCTAGTAGATAGAAAAAAAAAAAAAAAAAAAGAAAAAAAAACGATTTTCCATCTCGGCGGTGTCCAAACTAGGGTTCTGATATATTTGATTCAATTAAGATAATTAGATTAGTTATTTATCTGGTATAAAAGAGAAAAACTTATTTCTAGATTTAATTCTCTTTAACAGGATTATGACAGAGATCACTTATAGCAGCTTTTATTACTAATGAAAGCAGGAATAAATTTTTATTTATTAAAGAACTGAGTAATAATAATCTATATTTATTATTATTTCATTCTAATCAAATTTTTTTTAACTTGAAAAACCGTATTTTATATTGATTACAACAAAGATCTACTGTATTTCATAAAATTTTACTTCTTAAAAATATATTCTGGTTTTAGGAAGAGGTATTTTAACTGTTAACCACTTTCAGATCACGGGACAGATGCTGGAACGTCATCAATGTCCTTATAGCTGATTGGATGTTTGAACGTTTTCCTTACACCTACTTAGTAACGTCATGCATGACGGTTGTCGGGATTGCGAATTGCAGAAATTTTCAGAACGTTCTGTACGCCATTTTAAGATTGGATAACTGTTTAGTAAGCAATGTGGAAATTCGAATAAGATTTTGATATTTGTTGAATATTAACTGAAAACTACAACAACAGCTGCTTTGGTATATTTTCAGGTTGTCTCTCTCTGATTCTGAGTTTTTATAACCTCCGAAATTGTGCTTACGAGTGTATCCTGATAACTTCTGTTAAGCCTAACGGAAGTTCTCTTTCCTTGGACTGTTTTAGCAGTGGTCGTAAGATTTTATATATTTTTTAAAACTGTTGGTTATCTAACATTCCACCAAGTGTGGGATTTTATTTATTGTTTTATCAAACTGATGTGCGACGTTCTTGAAATGTGTAAAACAAAATTGCAGACTGACGATCTTTTAGATATGATTTCCAGCATTGCGCGAAAGAAATCCAGAGTTCGGGGTAATCTCCGAGTAGAAGTGTTACTGGAATCTACTCATAAATGGTTGGATCGGGAGTTGAAGGAGAAACAACAGACTCGGAAACGTAAATGGGAAGAACTGAAAACAGATTTATGGAAAAGATCCAGGCATGACGACGACGTGCTGATGGAAGATGACACGTGTGAAGAACTTCTAGGTCTGAGTGATTTTTTTAGCAATCTAAAAGCAGTTACATCATCATCAGATAAGAAATTATGATTTAATAATTTTTAGTTTTTTAAAGCATTGTACGTAAATTATTGACCATTGTACATAATATCATTGTATTATTTTCATCTTGTTTAAAATCATTGTGAATAATCATCAGGATTGTATAGGGTCAGTAATCCCTATTTTATGTAGTTTAATTCATCCACACTTCTTTTACAGCATACCAAATCTTATTAATGTTGGCGACATTCATCTGTGATAATCAATGGAACTACTGTGCTGTTTAGATTTATTGAAGTGGATGAAAGAACGTCGGTAATATTTTGCCGCTTGTTTAACCACTGTTATATTGTAAATAAATAATTTAGTAACTCTTAATCTATTGCCTCATGTTTTTTGTAATTGTAGTTTGTTTCATGTCGTGTTTATATTCAATTTATCTTTTATAATGCAATTTAAGATATAGTTCACATAGACAATTTTTTATTCACAATGTAGAAGGTACGTGTGAAAAATAATTTTTTTCAGTTTAATCTTAATATTTGTAATTTTGATATTTTAACATAGACCTCTTCATGATCCTGATAAATTGGAGGGCAGAATGTTGGAAAGAGGAGAGATAAGTTGCCAAGGTAAAGAGGACTCATATATGAATTGCATGACTGTGCTAAAAAGTTATTTTTAACCAAATATACCATGAGATCTGTTTCAAAAATGTTAATTTTTTTTTAAAATTAGAGACTACATTTTTAAAGACGAAAAGTCATTATTATTTGCATGAATATCTAGTTTTATAAAGAATAAGGAAATTTAATAATGAATACATAAACTAATGTCTAGCTCTGTAGAAAGAATTTTTTGAGGTATTACAGTTTTTGTAATGTATAGGAAGTAAATGGGTTTCTTGATCATTTATGAGCTAAGATATTTTTGTTCATTAACTGGTATAGACATAAAAAAGTTATTTCTAGAGTTGAATTATTTGCTGTTCTGTTTAGAGTTCGCCGAAAGTTCTAAAGAGCATTTTCAAGGAATTCTGCTGTGTATTACACTTGTATTCACTTTGAGATCTGAAAGCCTCTTAGTCTGTCAGCTTTTGCTTCTTCAGGTGAGTTAAAGCAGGGCTTTAAAAAACTTATATATTGTGTCAATCAAAATTTTACTGTGAAGTTTCCGTTACATTTTCATTGTCCCATAGTTTTATGGAGTTTTAGTATTTGAGTGTGTGGTGGTGATTGAATTGAATAAGTCTTAATTGAACTGAAAGGTAGTTTCACTATACTTTTGGTTACTGTCCCATTTTGAATGAGTGCTTTTGAAAGCAAAGCATTTTGTTAAAGAGTAGTAATTTTTCAGTTCTTAAAAAAGTAGAAATATATGTAGAAAATAAAATGTGGTTGTTTCATGAGAGAGTTTTTTTACGAACAAATAAATTGCATATATCTTTCTGCATCTGTTAAAGCAGTATGTTACATAACTGGAATGAATTTATGCTTTAAAGAGAGATCTGAATTTTCTTGTAAAAGATATTTTCCAGCTGTTAATGGATCAGTACACTAGCACATTTCTAAATTTCTTGCTACTTGTATTTCCTTAAAAGGTATTTAAATGATGCAAAGTCAAACATTTGAGATTAGTAAAATAATTCTTTGTGCAGTTCTAGAATAATTAAAATAAATTTTTCATTAAACAGAACTTGCATATTTATCAGGACTGCTAGTTAAACAGCATAAGGTAAATCCGTTATTGAATTTGGCTGTGTTGCTTGAAACTGCATCATGTTTTTTTGCATTACAGTTGGTAGAAACTTTAAAGTGCAGAATCGCCCACTTACTTGTTTCGCACTTTTTACAAGAGTAAGAATTCGATTTTTGTCAATTTTCTTTGACTTTTTAAGTAAAAATAGGTTGATGTGTACGTGGATAAAGTAAAGGGAGTGTGCAATGCCATTTTTGAAGTGAAAATAGGTAGATGTGCACATGGATACCGAGTTAGTGCAGTTCTTAAAGATGCACCAAGCAGTGGGCGATTCTGTACTTCCCCCCCAAAAAATCCGAAATGAAACAGGTTTGCGACCCAAATTTTATACTAATGAAAAATTTAACTTTATTGCTGATGTAACAGATTGCAGTTTAAAATTGAATTTACAATTTTTTAGCTCTAGTGTAGAGTTGGGTGTGCCTTCGATTAGCGAAATTTTTTTTTTTTTTTTTTTTAAATTTTGCCGATGAAACCTCATTTCTGGTTGCCATCATAGTTTTTTTTAGCTTTCTGATTTTTTAAATGAAAATAGATTGATGTGTACATGGACAAATATTAAGGTAGTGTGTTTTCTAGTTTGTCCAATTCTGGGATATTTCGGAACAGATCGATATGTACATGGACACAGAGTTTCTACAATTTTTTGTCTTCTTATTTTGGTTTTGTGTAGCGGCCATCTTGAAATTGTGCCTTTCTGGTGCTGATCTTGGTGTCAAAAAAGAATCGCCAAAAAACAAGGGGCACCCAATTGTAAACTTGTACACATCGATCTATTTTCATTTTAAAAAAAAAATCAAAAAATCAAGAAGCTTAAAACAAAACTATCATGGTAACTGAAATTGAGGTTTCATTGCCACAATTTGTCGCTAATCGAAGGGGCACCTAGTTTTACATACCAAAAAATACATAGGATTTGACTATTTATTATTAATAATAGTAATATTTTCAGACTAATTAATGATAATAAAACGTAAAAATAAAGGACAAATTGGCCCTTCACATTCTACTCGCCAGAACCTGTACTCTCATCTTTAATTGGTTTAATCCTTGTATATGATACACACGGGATTTGGGGACATGATGATCATTAAATATGGTGTTTATGATGAGCAAGAAATGAGTCATTTTGGTTCTGCCAACAGCTTTCAAAATTGCACCAAGGTCCTACTGTATACTAGGATTTTACCCTTTAATTTTGAACAAGAAGCTGTGGAGAATATTTTGTATTTGATGACCAACATAAAGAAATCATATTATGCATTCTTTTTACAGTTATCTTTTTAAAATCAAAAATAGGTTTATTCTCTTATATTAAAAAATTCTTTTTGTACAATGCGATACGAAACTTTGGGCACTATTCTATTATGGGGACCAGATTGAGAAAAATGTATGCGTGCAAGTGTGTGTGTGTTCATATATATGTGTATATACACACAAACGTGTGCATACATATATTTTTAGGAATTTAAATCCTTAATTACCTAAATTTTAATTTTTAGTGGTAACGTACATGTATAAACTTTTATCATGTAATGTTTTACATTTTGATTTAGATATTTAACTGAGCAATTTGTCTTCCTTTTAAAACCTTCCTTTTATCGGAAGATTTTTTTTTTTTTCTGGGATCCCAATCTGTGAGGACTAAAGGATATTTCAGTTTTTACTAATAAACAGCTAATCTACAAAAAACCTATCTTTGTAGCAGCATTCTGTCATGAAAGTGTTGAGGTAAGTTTTGAAATTGAATAAAACAAGTCTGCTATCATACAGTAGGAGAAAAGACTTTTGTGAATTTTTTTATTGTGATACTTTTGTGAATATTTGAAAAGATAGAATTGTGAAAGAATTTTTTCATATGGTTTGACTTTGAAATTAATATCTTAACCAGCCTTAAAATCAGGGCTTTATAGTCGGTAGGGAAAATGACAGACTCCTGAAATTTTAATGTTTGACTCTTAACTCCTTCATATATATGTAAACATATACATATAGGTGCAGCTTATTTTTTAATATAAAAGAATGGATGCTACAGAAAAAAATTGATGCATAGCAAATTTTTTATATTAATTATCATTTAGTACAAAAGGGAAAAACTGGCATTAGTAATTTTTAAGAAACTGTAAAACTTCGGCAATTTTTTTTTTTTTTGCTAGAGAACCAAAGATATGATTTGATAAAAGATCTAAGAGTTTTTCCACACTGACTCGAGTAGGAAGAAGAGCTGTTACTGTTAGGGCTATTTCCTTTAACTTTTCAGGATAGATTTTTATAAGATCTAAAAGAGGTGTTTTGCAAGAGCAATCATATTTATCTATTTCTTCAAAGGCTGTGTATAAATCTTGTTTGTGTTTTTTCATTTTATATCTATAGGCTCTTGGTTATTTATTTTCATTCGCTTGCCTTAGCCTTTTTAATATTATCCAAATATTTCTCAATCTAATTCATCAGTGGAAATGGATGATAGAGACTCAGTTGCAATATCTGTAGTTTGACTGTCCTGATTTGAATATTCCAGTTCTGAGAATAATTTTATTCTTAATGAAAGTTCATAGATGGCTTTTTTTGCGTTTTTAATTTGTTTGTCATCCAACAAAATTCGACGTTTTGGATCTACATATATTGAACCCAACACGTCTAGGAAACTAGTTTTTCTTTTCTTCATTGAAGAAATGACTGCTTCTGCAATAAACCCTCCATATCAGAAAATACAAACATACATTCTTCCAGTCTTGCATCTTGTTAATTTTTCAGATTGTAGCTTTTTGGTGGCTATATACGGGACAGAAAGAAGAGTTTCCAATTCTGCAAGATCATTCCACAGTCTTTCTGTTACTGAAACATTAGGGTAATCTACATCTAACATTCTCGTCTCCTGTTAATTCTTCAGATTGTAGTTTTTTTGTGGCTATATACGGTTACAGTGTTGAAAGAAGGGTTTCCTGTTCTGCAAGATCATTCCACAGTCTTTCTGTTAGTGAAGTATTAGGGTTATTTATGTCTTCTGAAAAAGTTATTAATTCTAACAACACTGTATCATCAAATGTGTACTTCTCCATTGCGTTGTTCCTTTTCCTGCTCGCTTTCTAAGAATGGCATCAATTTTGGGAGTTCTTGCTGCTTACCTAAATTCACCAGTGAGATTAGTAACTAAATAAATCAGTTTAATCAATAATGGCAAATATCACTTCCATCCTGCTCTCTTATATTTATTTACTAATATGCCAATAAAATAGAAAATAACTATTTATTAATGTATATAGTCCATAAATAAAAATATTAACTCAGTTTGTCATTAATTTTTTTCTTTCAATTCAATTTCATTTCATTTCAAACTGTTCAACAAAAACGAGTCAATGTGTTTTTTAGCGACTCCAACTCCTTTTACCCAAAAATCTACCCGACTCAGACTCCACAGCCCTGCTTAAAATGCTGAGTCTGAGATTGTTATGAAACGGCATAAGTTCTAGCATTAACAATATTATTATATAGGTTGTTTTATTTAATTATCTAAAAAATTTGAGTAAATTATCAGCTAAATGTTCTACCTTGTTCATTAGCAGTAAATAAATATATGTATGGAGTAATATATATAACAAAAGCAAGAAATAAATCATGGCCGACTGGTTAGACTAGCAGTTACGTGCAAAAAATGTGATTGTATTTCCAGAGTAGCAATTATTACCATTTTAGCATGTTTTTGAGAAGTTTATCTGCAGGAGTAAAATCTTTTTTTCTCTACCACATCTTCAAAATTTCTTAAAACATATTTAATTTTTTGCACTTCTGTTAACACTTAAGTGTGAAATGTAGATATGAAATCTGTCTAAATGGTACCTACCATGACAATACATAAAGGAGACGTATTTTGTATATAATTAATGCATTTTAGTATATAATTTGTGCATGCTTATGATTTTTAGTACTTGCGAATAAAGATAATCAACTTGGAACAATGTTGGGCAAATTTTAAGATGAAAAGGTTTAACTTATTGCCAGTATTCATGTTTTGAAATGATTCACAAACGTTCAATATTATTATAAGTCAGCAAAAATCGTCAGCATATCAAAAGAAAATACACTTTAGCATACAAGTTTTAATTATTAAATGAGGATATGATGCAACAAAAAAAATAAAATATTAAAAAGTTTTTTTGAAATTGTGTAACATTTTCTCTACAGTTCATCTTCGTATGCAGTGAAAGCATCGCTTAGTGCATCATCATCAGAATTGCACACTGCATATCTAAAGAATATATCATTATTCTCTGTAGCAGTTTTGTACTGCAGTTTTTTCCTTTGCTCACTAGGGTAACTTCTACCGGGGGGGGTTGCAATAATATATAAGTA